GAAGCCCAAGTTGATCACAAACCCATAGTTGTTGTATTGTCCAGGATGGACTAGGGAAGTGCCTAAAAAGGGTAGTCTGTCCTCGCCGACCTCCACCTGGCGCCCATGTGAACCTAGTACCCTCATCCACGGCCACTTGCCTGTGGTGAGGTGCTGCAGTATTCTGCCTGGCAGTAAGCCTTCTTAAAGGGACCAGCCCAGGCTCCTCAGCAATGGCTTGGTGCCTTCCTTCTTCTTCTTCCCCTCAGTGGACTCTTTCCATGTTGGGTTGGCGGGGGTTGGCGGGGGTGGGGTGGGGGTGGGGGATGGTGTGTGGTAGGGATGGGTGGCCGTGCTGGATCACAGTTCTTAAAGACCAGCGCAAGGCCCAACATGCTATATAGCCCATGTGCTGCTGTGTTGTGCTTGTGGCCTAAGACTGCTGCAGCTAGCTGAAGGAGATACTGGCCAGATGCAAGTCCATCCTGCTGGGTTCCAGCAATGAGGTCTTAGCCTGGCTTTAATGTGAGTCCAGAGGCTCCACTGTTGGGCTGCAGCCTGGGACAAGCCACTGGGATCTGCTTAATGTTGGGTTTCACCAGTCTGGCACTGAATTCCATGGCGACGTCCTATGCTTACTTCTCTGTTCTACGCAGATGGAATCCTTTTCTGTATCGTGCTGCCTGACGTTGAGGGAAGGGCCATGGAAGCAGTCTTTCTTCCACCAGGCTCCCATAGATCCTAAGGTTTGGCTCATGGGCCTTGCCTGGTACCAGTCTTCAAATCTAAAGCCTACATTTAATTCCTTCTTCTTCCCTTAAGCAGGGGCAGCTCTCTCCATGATGTTTGAAGTTGAGGGAGGGGTGAAGCAGGAACTCTTTCTCTCTTGCCTTCTTCAATACATCTTTCTTATTATGCTAAAACTCTGGAGATCTCTAGGGAAGGGAAGGGGAGGGGAGGCGAGGTAGGTGAGGCGAGGCTCAAATGGGCCTTTCTGTGGGGAGAGGAACTGTGGAACTCTGCTGCTGTCTTGCCCTGCCTCCTAGCCTCCACCTCTTAAAGGGCCCCAACTTCTCAATGTCGCCATGCTGGGGACCAAGCATCCTTAACATGAACTTCTGCAAGACAAAGCACATCCAAGTGCAAACCATAGAATTCTCTCACAGGGTAAAGTTTTTGCAAATACGACTTTCAGTTAAGAATCTTTTTTTTTTTTTTTTTTTTTTCTGACAGGCAGAGTGGACAGTGAGAGAGAGAGATAGAGAGAGAAAGATCTTCCTTTTGCCGTTGGTTCACCCTCCAATGGCAGCCAAGGCCGGCGCATCACGCTGATCCGAAGGCAGGAGCCAGGTGCTTCTCCTGGTCTCCCATGGGTGCAGGGCCCAAGCACTTGGGCCATCCTCCACTGCCTTCCCTGGCCACAGCAGAGAGTTGGCCTGGAAGAGGGGCAACCAGGACAGAATCCGGCGCCCTGACCGGGACTAGAACCCAGTGTGCCGGCACCGCGAGGCGGAGGATTAGCCTAGTGAGCCGCGGCGCCGGCCTCAGTTAAGAATCTTGAGATGAGATTTTCCTAGATTATCTGGGAGGACCCTAAATGCCATAGTAAGTGACCTTTTTAAAGAGAAACAGGGAGATTAAACACACAGAAGAGAGGGCATTATGCAGACAGGCAGGGATTAGAGTTACATTGGTACAAATGGAACAGTGATGGCAGCTACTAGGGCCTGAACAAGCAAGGAAATAACATCCCCGAAGAGCCTCCCAGTGCAGCCCCGGCACTGTGATTTCAGATTCTGGCCTGCAGAGCTGTGAGAGAATGAGGGTGTTATTTGCATTCACCAGACTTGTGGTCATTTGTTTCAGTAGCCACAGGAAATTAACACTGATCATATACTAATTTCATTTTTTTTGTTGTTTTTATCTCTTTGTGGAGTGTTTATTTTTTTCATTTGTTCCATTGATCTGTCTGTTCTGTTGCCAGTACCGAGTATCCTGTTTTGATTAGCAGGGTTCACATTCAGGTTTATTTTATTCAAGTAATTTATTATTGTATTGAAGTTGTGCATGTACATGACATTTCAAAATCAAGTGGTATTACAGGACTATGTGTAAAGTAGTCCTCCCACCTCCAGGCTCCAGTGGCTTCTCTGACCCTCCATTTCCTTTGTTATTTCTGTCATACTTCTGAATCAGGTATTTATAAACTACTATTTGACATATTAATTTTAGGCTCTGTGTACTTATTTTTCATGTGGACTTAGATATTCTTTTTTTTTTAAAGATTTTATTTATTTATTTGAGATGTAGAGTTACAGACAGAGAAAGGGAGAGACAGAAAGGTCTTCTATCCACTGATTCACTCCCTAAATGGCCACAACAGCCAGAGCTGGGCTGATCTGAAGCCAGGAGCCAGGAGCTTGTTCCAGGTCTCCCAAGCAAGTGCAGGGACCCAAGGACTTTGGCCATCTTCCATTACTTTCCCAGGCCATAGCAAAGAGCTGGATTGGAAGAGGAGCAGCCGGGACACGAACTGGCACCCAATGGGATGCTGGCACCACAGGCAGAAGCTTAGCCTGCTATGCCATAGCGCTGGCCCCTGGACTTAGTTACTGTTAGCCATACCTGTCTCTCACTTCTTCTCCCTCATCATAGCCATAGTATAATTTTCATTAAATCAAGTAAGTGTTCTCATGATGCATTGAACCAGCTGAATAGGGTTCTGTAACCATGCCTTCTCTTTTGAATATTCTTTGCATTTATCTCTATTGTGTTAGCAATGGCTTTTTTAAAGCATTACCTAACTTTCTGAGTACTTGCATTGACTTTTTCCCCAGTTACTCTAACATTTTTGCCACATGTCTGTGAATAATATGCTGAAACATATCAGTTATGTTTTTTCCCTGGAAACTTGCTTTCCAGAGCCCTTCATCTTCCCCCTGGGATGGAAACGGCTTGCTCTGTGGTTATTATCTGGAGCCTCCCTTCATTGCAGCAAAAACCATATGGGAAAGAAACAATACAAGTTTTCCTTCAAATTTTATGTGTCAGAACAATATCATACTTATATCATATGGAAGCTTCCCACATTCCCAAGACTGAATTCTCTTTTTGAGCAGGCATTGGGCACAGCAGTTAAGCTACCATTTTGGATATCTGCCTCCCATACCAGAGTGTTTGGGTTTGAGTTCCAATTCTGCTCTCCCTTCCAGCCTGCTGCTAATATACACCCTGGGATGCAGCAGGTGATGTTCAAGTAGTTGGGTCCTGCCGCCCACGTGAGAGGCCTTTGTGGAGTTCCTGTCTCCTGCATCAGCCTGGCCCAGTTCTGCTTATTGCGAGCATTTGGGGAGAGAACCAGTGGATGGAGAATCTGTCTGGTGCTGTTTCTCTGACTTTCAAATAAATAAATAATCTTTGTGTTTTCCAAATCATTTCCAGCCAAGTTATCCAGGGTAGCATATGAGCAAATCAGCAGTTAAACAATCACCAGTTGCGTTTGCTTAGAATATAGGAGACCCAAGGAGAATGTCCCGAGAATATATGGAAAAGTGGATAGCACTATGCAGTTTACATTTCTTCTATTTTATACATTTTATTTAAACCTACTTTGATATTAATATGACCATTCTGATTCTGTTTTGTTATTTATATGATAGATCTTAATTTATACCTTTATTTTTTCTATGTTATTTTGTTTTAGTTATATCTCAAATACCATATAGTTGGATTTAGTTTGTTTTTGTTTTTGTTTTTTTTTATTTGAATTTTTTGTATTTTAAAGCTTTCAGGGCCAGTGCTGTGGTATAGTAGGTTAAGCATCCACCTGTGGCACCAGCATCCCATATGGGCAACAGTTCGAGTCCTGGCTGCCCTGCTTCCAGTCCAGCTCCCTGCTAATGGCCTGGGAAAGCAGTCGAAGATGGCCCAAGAGCTTGGGCCCCTGCACCCACGTGGGAGACTCGGAAGAAACTTCTGGCTCCTGGCTTCGGATGGGCTCAGTTCCGGCCATTGCAGCCATTTGGGGAATGAGCCAGCAGATGGAAGACCTCTCTCTCTCTCTCTCTCTCTCTCTCTCTCTCTCTCTGTCTTTACCTCTCTCTGTAACACTGCCTCTCAAATAAATAAAAGAAAGCTTTCGTTTATTGCACTAAATAATATAATTGTTCTTATTCTGTCATCTTGACTAATATTGGTTGTTATTTTCGCTTTTTTTTTTTTTTAAGATATACTCTATTTATTTGAAAAGCAGAGTTAGAAAAAGAGAGAGAGAGAGAGAGAATGAATGAATGAGTGAATCTTCCATTTCTGGTTCACTTCCCAAATGGCTGCAACAGCCAGGGCTGGGCCAGGCCAAAGCCAGGAACCGGGAGCCTCATCCAGATCTCTCACAAGGGTGGCAGGGACCCAGGCACTTGGGCCATCTTCTGCTGCTCTTCCAAGGTGACTAACAGGGAGCTGAATTGGAAGTGGAGCAGCTGGGACACGAACCAGAGCCCATATGTGCTGCCAGCCTTGCAGACAGCAGTTTTACCGACTGAGCTTCCGCCACGATGCCAGTTCCTCTTTGAATGATTTTTGAAGAAGGTTTTGTATCTGAATCTTTGCATACTTACAATGTGTTCATCTGACTTAGCAATTATAACTGTGGAAAGTCTTCCCAAGGATATGATTTTTATATGTAGAGGCATGTGTATAAGTTTCTTCATTTGGCAGTATTATCACAAAAAAAAAATTAGAAAAAGAGTCTGAAAATAATCAAAATAGAATTATTTCCAGCTATAACTGCAAAATTGTAATTATTAACTTTGTCACCTAGCTGAAATTACATGTTATAAATCTTTCTGTTTCTTATACATATTGTAATTATAACTTTTGGTTATATAAAGTAAGCATTAGCATGTTTTGCTGTAACTATTAGTATTTTATTTAATTGTTTTCAGTTTGTGAGTCAAATACTGACTAGCTACTTATTATTGAAAAGGCTTTTAAGAAGTATAATTGTAGTGTTTTTGTTTTAGTCACTCCATGGATTCCTTTGGGCAGCACAGGGCAGAAGAGCAGCAGACAGTCGTCAGCAGGATGCAAAAGAAATACTGGAAAACCAAGCAGGTCTTCATCAAAGCGACAGGCAGAAAGGAGGATGAGCATGTGGTGGCGTCCGATGCGGACCTGGATGCTAAACTTGAGGTGAATGTCAAGATTCTGCGTGTTGCGTGTAACTAGTTATTATTTGGGGAGCAACAACAAGGTTTCACACTGAAGGACAAAGGCAAATTTGATAATGGAATGTTTACTTGCATCCAACGATGAATTAAAACTTCTGGATAAAAGGTCACAGTTCTCACAAATTGCAGAACTATCATCTAAATTATGTAAATTATGAATTAGGTAATTTCTCTGGCACATATACTGTAATTTTAATTCCTAACTGGGAGCATATACTCATTTAAATCGTGTCATGCTATTTTGTAATACTGCAGTCTGAACTCCTATACTTCACTGAAATAAACTAGTTGAAATCAAATAGTGACTGAGGATAAATTAAGATTTATTGTTTCTATTATTAAGTAATAAGGTTTTTGGAATGCTTCAGTAATGCCATTTTGGCTCTGGTTTTCATTTTAAACAACAGAAATAACTGCCATAAGACAATTTGAAACCTAGAAATGTTGTATGCTTTTGAATAATTAAGATTATTAGAGCAATGTCTCATGTAAATTAATGAAAAGTCTGGATTTTTAAATGCAGTTATTCATTCCATATACATATATACTAATTTAATATAGCTCTTAAATGGGCAGGGTTTCTTTTATTCTTGAAATATAATCATTATGTTGAGACTCTAAAAGTATGTGTATTAAGTAGGCCTTGATTTACTAAGTATTTTCATTCTGCAAAAAGTAAACTTATGGCATTATCATAAGAAATATGAAAATAGACAATAAGTTAAGAAGCTTTAACTATCTATGTCAAAAAGTATTTCTCTTTTGATTCAATAACATGGAAAAATAAAAGGATTTTATTATGGTAAGTAGTGTACCTTTTCACACTAATAGAACGTGTCATTGTTTCCATATATATTCCCACATAAGTTGATGTTTTTGTAATCTTCAAATTGTTACATAACACTGTGACATATTTACAATCAGTGTAAATTTATTAGATAATTGTAATCAACCAAGTATTTTCTCCCACATTTGTACTATTTTTTTAAAACAGTAAGAAATATTTTCATTATAAAAATGAAAAGCAATATGTTATAAGCCTTGCAAAGATCCACTGGGGGAAAAATCAGCCATAATCACTTCATTCTAATAGAACTATCATTTTTGTATGCTTTTCAGGTCTTCCATATGCATTTAAAATAGATTTTTAAATTTGAAATTCAGAAAACAATTCAAACACATCTAAGCTTATATGGAAAACTGATGGTTGCTTCTTCACTAAGATTTTAGCGTGTGAGTGTCAATACTCTATAGGTTTGATCAGCATCAAAATAACAGTAAAATTGTTGCAGAGATAGAATATTCAGATTTCTTGATGATATTGGGAATTTATTTGATAATTAAAGGATTAGGGCTTAATATTACACTGCCATATCAAGATCTTCTTGAACTAAGTTTTAAATTCTCCGCATTGTAGGACTTTTTGAGGAGGCTGTACTCTAGAAACTGTGCTTGCTTGTTTATCTGAGAAAACCAGAATCTATATGTGTGTGTAAAGAGTTATGTGTATAAAGTATTCTCATCTCAAGTTTTCATGTGCTTAGCTTTGAAATGAGAGTCTACTGGATATTTTTTTTTTCCTGCTAGAAGTTAGCAATAGTTGTAATGAAAGGATTAAAGTTCCTGGAAATTACCCAACAAAAATAATCCAGAAGTAATTTGTATTTGTTGTTGTGACACATTATTTTTATAGCAAATTCACTGAACTTTTTCCTTAGACCAATATTTGAAAAAAGACAGATTCAGAGTTAATACTTTCTAAGGTTATATCTACTTTCTTAATGTGTGGTTGGCAATATTTGGTGCAGTTTATATTGGATTTGACTTTTTGCCATTTAGATATTTTGGAGCTGAGGGGAAGACAAACTCCAGTTTTAATTTTTTATTGCTTTTGTGGATTTATCACCATTTTTGTAAACCTCTCGAGGGAAATCTAAATGTGTTTTCTGCATCAGAAATAAAACCACAGATGAACTACAACACAGCCAAGGGAAATAGACATAATATTTATAAAGTAGACAGTACATACTTATAAGAAACTGTTCTTCTTTTGAAGTACTTGTAACAGTTCTATTTGTTTATGGTTCTTTAAATTGTCCTAATAACATTTATATTTCAAGGTTTTTCACTCCATTCAAGAGACATGCACTGAACTTCTGAAGATAGTCGAGAAATATCAGCTAAGACTCAATGGTATGACATCATAGATATCTGATCATTCCCATTTAAAATAAATAGTACTGTAAATTTTTGAAAATGAAAATTAGTAGTTTATTGAATATTTTGTGAGTAGTTTTTATAGTAAAATATGAATATTTGTAGCAAAATCTCCAGTATCCTCCTCTTCCTTCTTCAGTTCAGTAAATCCTGGCCTGGACTCATTTTGCTGCCCAGAGTCTTAAGTGGATTTGCTTTTATCACCTAGAAACACATTGCTTCTCCCTCTCCCTTTCCCCCTCCCTCCCTGTCTCAGCCCCTATTTGCACTTGCCCTTGCAGCTGACTCCCATTGCTTAGCTCTGCTTCACCCTGGCTGTATGCGGGGTCTCCCTTCCCTTCCTTCAACCTAGTCAAGTTCTCGTTCCTACTGCTGCACCAGTTTTCTCATCAATGTCATTCACAGTTACATCCGATGACCAATTCTCAGCACTTATTTGGTTTACCACATTTTTTAACATAATTGATTATTCCTCCTCCTAGATGCACTTCCCCCACTTGATTTCCAGGCACCACATTTCCCTGCTTTCTTTCTTTCTTCATACTCAGCATCCTGCCTTTGCTGGATTTTTCCTTCCTCGACTTCTTCAGGTTGGAGCTCAATCTTTGACTGTCTTCTTCAGCTTTAGGTACAGTGTCCTACGGATAAGGCTCCTTTTCTGATACTGGTTACCTTTCTGACTGCATTTCCTAAAACATGCGCTTCTTCAGCCATACTGATCTGTTTCCCCATAGGCATGTTTGCATAGTAGGCTCCCTAGCTCCCCTTAGGTCATTTGTCAAATGCCATCTTTTTATTGAGGCCTTCTCTGAACTCCATATATAAAATGCAGTTCCATTCTCCCTCATAACTCTGTCCACTTAATAATATTCAATATATATTTATCTGTTTTTCTAGAATATGCTCTCCTGAAGGATAAGATTCTGTCTGTTTTGTCTATTTTTGGGTCCCCATAGGCTAGAAACAATGTCTAGCATGTAATCAGTTCTCAATAAAGATTTGCTCAATGAAGGAATGACTTCCTTGTGAAGCTATGCAAATTAACCTCATCCCTTTATAATCATAGCTCATCTTTTGTCCCATTAAAGAAATGTGGTATGGCATGATTATGTGAAGTGTTTTTGAGCACTTTCCATGTTCAGGGCTATGTGCTTTCTCCAAGGAAATACAAGTAGTTTGGGAAACAACCTTCTGTAACAAAACAAGAAGTGATACAAATCTTCAAAAATTTCATGGAAAATGCATATTATAAAAAGCACATGTATTTTATAATTTTAATTCATTTTTTTTAATTCCTTGTTCTGTGGCCTTCTAGAGATCCCATTATGTAATTGAATTGAGAATAGTTATCAAGTCATAACTCTATAAATTCCTAGGTATAAAAAAATAACTAGGGAATAGAGTAATCCATAAAGGCAACTCCATAGATGAGAACCAAGATCAAACTTAAAGGGTTTTTAGAAGTTGAATATGTGGAGAAAAGAACAGGTTTGGAGTTGAGGGAGTCAACTTAAAGAATGAGAACAGCCTGGGTAGGCAGAGGAGTTTGTAGTTGGGACCAGGAGCATAAAGGAGCAAAGGGATTTGGGGGTCAGATTAATAAGGACCATAAATAGCAAGCAGCACAAACCATCACAGTCACTGGGCCAGGCAAGTCCTGTGCTGGAAATGGAGATGTCAGGAAGCAATGGTAAATCGATGTGTCCTGCACTTTGCCTCGAAAGCACTAGATCTTTTAGCACACTGTCAGCATTTCAGGATGAGGAAGAGACACTATACTTTTTCTAGATTGTGTACAAATATGTGACTTCTTGAGACTTATTATTTCTTGATGATTATTATTTCTTGAAGACCATTAATTCATCTCCTGTTGTGAATAACATCAGACAAGTGCAGATTAGCGCTGTGACAGAGCTTTATGGGAATCACGTGACTGTGGGAAGAACACAGCGGGGTGGGGTCTCCACATTTTTGGCAGGTGGATCTCAACACAGAAGCGGCTTGGATTCAGCCTTATCTGCCCTTTATGTACTGATGAAAGTAAGGTTCATACTGACTCATGTCCAGCTGCTGCTGGATAATGAAGTATTCTCAGGTGTCAGAAGGCTTTCTGAATCAATACAAAAATGAATAGTTTTCTAGTAGTTTTCATTGAGGTATATTTTATAAAGTTCTAAGCCAAAGGAAGTGTGTAATCTGTGCATCAGTTGACTAACCAGAATATTACATTAACAAGAGTCCCTGAATCCCATCCACTAGCGATCAGATTAGTTGTTCATTGTATGGTACATATGGCACATGGTTTCCTTAAAAATGGTACTGCAGGGTGTGTGGCCATCCTGCTGCCTGACATCACCACACTCTCCTTGGGTCACCTTGTGGGTGCAGCAGGGAGGAGCAGTTGGAGTGAGGACCCAGCATAGGAAAAGGCCCAGTTCTGTGGCTGTTTGAGAGGTGCCAAACTTTCCTTTCCATTTTGAACTTCAGTTTTGCTGTCAGTATTCTGGGGAGAGGGCAGGTACATTTGTTGTCATTTTGTTCCCTTTAAGCTCACAATTTGAACACACTATGGGCCTCCCTCTTTGTCAGTCTTTCTGTAGTTAGAGGGTCACGTGACACTAGAACTGTGTTTCTAAAACTCTGATGAAAGACCAGTTTTCTTGTTGTTGTTGTTTTTTACTTCCAATCTATTGTAAACTGATGCTTTCATACAATGCAATAAAAATTGATTTTTAAGAAAAATGAAATTTAAAAACATGCAAAATATAAGCTCACTTTTCAATGATTCGATTTGGTAGACTTAAACTTCTCAGTTAAATTGGTAACTGTCTCTAATACAGCTACTTCCATGTCGTCACAGGCTGGTAACAGATGATTCTGGACTGGCGCTGACCGGTGGCCCCTGCTTTGAGCAGCAGTGCCGTGGCTGGCAGCTTTAAGGGTTTCTGCAGCAGAACTCTGGGTACTGTAGGTCTGGAGGTGCTGAGCACAGGAAACTGAGGCCAGGATGGAAGTCAAGAGCAAATTAAGTTGAAGTAGGAAACAAGTACTTGTAAGGAGTAGTCACCCTAAGTGCACCTCTGTGCATTTGCACTGCTCATGACTGTTTCATTTTGAACTTTTTTTTTTTTTTTTTTTGGTCACTAAAGATTAATTTTCCCAAAGCCAGTTTCATAGGTTCACTGCATCAAAATCATCTGGAGTATGTGTAAAAACCAGCTCTCCAGGCCTATAAAATAAAGTCTCTGGAAATGGAGCCCTGGAATTTACATTTTTAAAATGTTTCTCTCAGAGCAGATGCTTAACCAGCAGTTAAGATGATGCTAAGAGGCCTGTGTCCCACATCAGAGTGCCTGGGTTTGGTACGTGGCTCTGACTCCTGACTCCAGCTTCCTGCTATCACAGAGCCTGGGAGGCAAGAGGTGATGGCTCAAGTATTTGGGTTCCTACCACTTATGTGGAAGAACTCAATCATGCTCCCAGCTCCAGGCTGCAGCCCTGGCCCAGCGCCAGCTGCTATAGGCATTTGGAGAATGAACCAGCAAAAGGGAGCTCTTTCGCTCACTCTCTCTGCCTCTCGCATCAACAACAATTTAAAAATAAAATGTCTCTCCACTTCCTCCCACAAATAATTCTTAGTATACAGTTTCTTCTGTGAGAATTTTAGTTGTGTATATGTTTTAAACAAGTAATGAAATGAACAATTAACTGTGTTGTAATTTTTTTTTCCTAGTTATATCAGAGGAAGAAAATGAGCTAGGACTCTTTTTAAAGTTTCAAGCAGAACGGGATGCAACTCAAGCTGGCAAAATGATGGATGCCACTGGCAGAGCACTCTGCTCTTCAGCCAAGCAAAGGTTTACTGTGATTTTTTCATCATCTTCGTGGACTTAAGTTTGTTTGGAAAGGTCACCGATCATTCCAATAAAGAATTAAAGAGAAACTTGAGCCATCTTCAAAAACTTCATGGAAAATGTGTATTATGAAAAAACATACAGGGATTTCATAATTTTCTTGCACCAAAACTTATCTTTTAATTCCATTTTCTAAGAACTTTTTGAAGTAACCTTATATATTGCACTGTATTATTGTTCTGATGTCCAATTATTTGTACTTAAGTAATTCTTTAAAAATTGTTGCTCTTGGTTGCTTAATTTCTAGCAATAATCTTTAGGCCTGTATTTATATTTAAGTGGTCTAATGTAACAATCAGAATATATAACACTTTAAATATGTGCATTTCTTTTTTAAATTTAAAAAAAATTTTTTTTTTTTATTTTTGACAGGCAGAGTGGATAGTGAGAGAGAGAGACAGAGAGAAAGGTCTTCCTTTTTCCGTTGGTTCACCCTCCAATGGCCGCCACAGCTGGTGTGCTGTGGCCAGCGCACCGTGCTGATCCGAAGCCAGGAGCCAGGTGCTTCTCCTGGTCTCCCATGAGGGTGAAGGGCCCAAGCACTTGGGCCATCCTCCACTGTACTCCCGGGCCATAGCAGAGAGCTGGCCTGGAAGAGGGGCAACCAGGACAAAATCTGGCACCCCAACTGGGACTAGAACCCGGTGTGCCGGCGCCACAGGCAGAGGATTAGCCTATTGAGCTGCTGCGCCGGCTAAATATGTGCATTTCTGTGTTTTCTTCTTTGATATTATGCTTTCTCTGAGCACATTGAAACGTTTTAAAAAGAAGAATTTTTTTTCTTTTTAATTACATACTTTCCATTGATCATTTCCCAATTTCTTAGTATAGTAATACCTTTTGAAAATAATCCTATAATTACCAAATGTAGGCCGAATCTTTGCATTTCAGAAGAAAAATAAAAACAGGCCTCACTAGACCTGCAGTGATGATGTCCAGCTTTGGTGGATCTTTTCTGAAACACCCTCAGTGCAGAGTTCCATCTTGAAGGGAGTGAGGGATACTCAGGACAGGCCCTCTGACTCCTCCAAGTGAAAAGTAGAGCCGAGGGGTTGGTTTGATTTGTGTTTCGTGGATGTTTTCTTATCCTATTCCACATCTGCTAAGAATTGCATACTCACTAGTTCTTCTAGCATTTTATGGGCTCTTGGAAACCCAGGTTTCCTCTAAGTTTGTCAGAGGAAAGGCTTTCTATGAATTGAGTTATGCCTCATGAACCAGGTCATTTGTTACCCTTGGAACTCTTGTAAATGGCAGATTACCTGGAAGGCTGTTTATACATGGGTTAGCATTCACTGTTAAAATAATTTCCTAAGCTTAAAATAGAAGCACTAGAGTTTAATAAGAGCAATATAGACACACCTGTATGAATGAGTTGAAGTTGACTGCAATTTCCTATCTGCTTTCTAACCCTCCTTAGGCATTTTCGTAATTTCCTATTTGTAGACAGCAAAATATGGTTTATGATTGGTTTAAACTTTTGTTTTGCTTTGCTTCGCTTATGGGATCCACAACCTTCTGATTTTCACCTCTCTGCCATTAGATTGGCCCTGTGTACTCCCCTGTCTCGTCTTAAGCAAGAAGTGGCGACGTTCAGCCAAAGGGCAGTGTCTGACACCTTGATGACAATTAATCGGATGGAGCAGGCACGCACAGAATACAGAGGCGCTCTGCTGTGGATGAAAGATGTATCCCAAGAACTGGACCCAGATACCTTAAAACAAATGGAGAAGTTCCGAAAAGTATGAAAATGTGTCCTTTTCCTTTTCCTGATATGTGAAATATGGAACTACAACAGAATAATCAAAATTCAGCGCCGTGGCTCACTTGGCTAATCCTCCGCCTGTGGCATCGGCACCCCGGGTTCTAGTCCCAGTCGGGGCGCCGGATTCTGTCCCAGTTGCCTCTTCCAGGCCAGCCCTCTGCTGTGGCCAGGGAGTGCAGTGGAGGATGGCCCAAGTGCTTGGGCCCTGCACCCCATGGGAGACTAGGAGAAGCACCTGGCTCCTAGCTTCAGATCGGCGAAGCGGCCATTAGGGGGTGAAGCAACGGAAAGGAAGATCTTTCTCTCTGTCTCTCTCTCTCACTGTCTAACTCTGCCTGTCAAAAAAAAATTTTGGCTCATAAATATACTTTATATTTCTATGACACATTAAGATACTTCTAAAAATGATCAAAATTGTAAAGTGGCAAATATTTTTGAAAAGCCCATTTTATTATAAGTTCTTGATTTTGATTGAAGTGCAAAAGGTTTTCTACTTTTGCTTTGCACTCTTTGACATCAATCTTTTATTTATTTTTATTTTCATCTACTCGAAAGGCAGAGCAACAGATAGAGGGTGAGAGATAGCATCCATCCACTGATCACCCCACAAATGCCTGCAAGAGCCAGGGCAGGACAAGGACAAAGTCAGGAACTCGCTCCATCTGGGTCTCCCTTGTGGGGAGCAGGGGCCAAACACTTGAGCCATCATCTGCTGCCTTCTAGGACACACTAGCTGGATCAGAAGCAAAGTAGCTGGGACTCCTGCTGGCACTCTGCAATGGGTGTTCCAAGTAGCAGCTTTACCCACTATGCTGTAATGCCCTCCCTCCCTCCCTCCCTCCCTCCCTTCCTTCCTTCCTTCCTTCCTTTTTTTTTTTTTTTTTTTTTTTTTCTTCTGAATTTGAGAGGCAGTGGACAGAGAGGGACAGAGAAAGAACTCCCATCTATTATTTCACTCTAAATGTGTGCAACAGCCAAGTCTGGCCTGGCACTTAAGCCTGGAGCCAGGACCTCCGTTCAGGTTTCCCACGTGCATGGCAAGGACTCAATTACTTGAGCTATCACTGCTGCTTCCCAATGTCTGCATTGGCAGGAAGCTGGAGTCAGGAACTGGAACCAGGAATCAAACCTGGGGACTCCAGTGTGGGACACGGGTATCTTTACTACTAGGTTAAATGTCTGCTCCCCTATTAACCTTTTCAATTAACTCTTCTATCCCCCTCAGATGTAACTGTTGCTTACTTGGACTTTTGGGATTTGTTTACAGGAAGAAAAGTGTTTATTACTAAGGGGAGCATACATAATTTAAGTAAAAATTTATATATAAAAATGATTGTTAATTATAAGAAAACATGAATGTTATCAAGGTTGATTTCATTCTGCCACAATGCAAAGTTTGACCACATATTTTGTAAGCAACTATCCATATATGGACATATCGTTTTGCTAAATAAATTCTTTATTATAGGAGCTGGCACTGTGGCACAGCAGGTTAAAGCCATGGCCTGCAGCGCTGATTCGAGTCCCAGATGCTCCACTTCTGATCCACTTCCCTGCTAATGTTCCTGGGAAAGCAGTGGAGGATGGCCCAAATCCTCAGGCCCCTGCACCCACGTGGGAGACCCGAAAGAAGCTCCTGGCTCCTGGGTTCAGCCTGGTCCATCTGGGTCATTATGGCCATTTGGGGAGTGAACCAGAGGATAGAAGATACTCCCTCCCTCCCTTCTTCCCTCCCTGCCTCCCTCTTCCTCTGCCTTTCAAATAGATAAATCTTTTTTAAAAAATTCCTTAAAAATTACTTCTTATTATATTATACATGTTATGCCCTAAATTTACCACATGAATAATAAAACTGCTTTATTCATTCATTTCATGAATATATAATAAAATATATAATATGTTTATAATATAATGTATAATAAAAATCCTGCTATTTACTGTGAAGGAGCCTTTCCCCTGTGCAGGTGTTGTAAGTGTTTGCCTCATCCATTACTGCCGGCGATCCTGTGAGGCAGGTGAACACGAGGCACCAGGCCACAGCAGCCCCTTATTCCATCCCCTTTACAATCCTTGACAACTAGAATAAAGTCCTAGGAATGGTTGTACAATAGTGTGAGTGCTCTTAATGCCACTGGGTAGTACACTTTAAAATGGCTAATTATATGTTATGTGAATTTCACTCCAGTTAAAACAAAAAGCAAGAATACAATCCCAGTGTCTGGAGAACCCCAGCATGGTCTGACTCCTCAGCCATTTGCAGACACATCTGAAACTTGCTGCCTGTGCTCCAGGATGGATATCCTCCACCCTCTTCCTTCCTGTTCAGCAAGTGTGATAAGCTCCTCACTCCCTTCCCACACCCAGGACCTTTGTCCTTACTTTTCCCTGGTCCTGGAATGCTCTCCCCAGGGTCCTAGCATGGCCTGCTCCTCATCTTTCTGTCCCCGTTGAAGCATCGTGCATGATCTCCCAGGGACTTTTCCTGAAAGTAGTCACCAGTTCTGTTTACTTGCTATCTTGGCAACCTGAGATTATCTTATATGTTTGTTTACTTCTTTTATTTTCTTGTGCCCCACTACCCAAGGATAGTGAGGCAAGACCATTGTTGTATTCATAATTTCCCACTGAACAGAACAGTACCTTGCACATAAGAAACACCCTATAGATATTTGTTGACTGAGCGAATATTTTTTGTTTTTGTTTATGTCAAGGGCACAGATTTCATGTATTTCATAGATACGGTTTTTAGGGCATAATGATGCTTCCCACCTTTGCTCTCTCTAAAAGTTGAATACTCACACTACCTGCTGGCATATGACTCGCTCTATATCCAAGAAATATGTATATATTTAAATTGATAAATGCCTGCATGATTCATCAATATTATTGTTTCTCCACATTTTAGTTGATTCCGTTTATTCTTCTACTGTTAGTTAAATGCTGTCCATAAGTAATTTCAGATGTTTCTATTTGAAATACATTTTTGCCTGCTTAACTATATACTTTCCACCCAGCACTTCATATTTCTCAGCATACAGATATTTACTGGAAAGAATGTCCTATAATTATTAAAAATAGTCAAAATCTTCATCTGTCATGAATATTAATAATATAGAAAAAGGGAATTAATTTTCTTTACAGTTTCATGTGTCTTAAAATATTTATTTTTAAAATATATGCTGTATTTATATATGTGTGATTGGTAATAATAGTTAACATTTTGTGATTGCAGGTACAGGTCCAAGTGAGAAATAGCAAAGCTTCTTTTGACAAGTTAAAGATGGATGTTTGTCAGAAAGTGGATTTGCTTGGAGCTAGTCGCTGCAATATGTTATCCCATTCACTCACTACCTACCAGGTACCCACCTCCATGGTCAGCATGTCCTTGCAGTAAAGATGAGTGGTGAGATTCCTTTTTGAAAGTTGTCTAAAGGGTGCAAAAAATGTACAATTGATCATATTCCTTTGACTCTGTTATAATTGACTTTTTGAGGTTATGACAGTCAGAGTCCCCCAGATTTCTAAACTGAAGACGACCTTGGAGATGGTCTACTCCTGTAGCTTCACATTGTTCTCCTTGGTGTCCTGGGAGAGAGATTTGGGGACCATCTGAGGATGGAAAAGGGGTTGTTGAGGAGGCCAAATTCAAGGCCTGTTCATCCTGGTCCACCCAGAGCTGCTCCACTTCTGATTTTGAACTTCTACACACAATTTCATTGGAAGCAAAGATGCTGTGACCCGGGAAGTTGGAAACTTTTCTGTCATTTCACGGGTGAGGTAACTGAAACTTATGAGAATTAATGTAAATGGCAGTGTTGGGCCTAAAAAGCTGTTTTCTAATTCTAGGTCATGTGTTCTTTTCCTTCTGCCGAGTTGCCCTCCCAAACCGTTGAACCTCAGAAGTCTGACTTGTGCTGGTCTTATTCCATATTACACACAAATAGCACAGATTGAGTAAATTAGATGTTAATAAGTATCAGTTACTGATTTTAACATACACTTGTAACTGGCAAATAGAATAGACTGTAATGTACTTAAGAAAAAGCAGACTAAAGGAAATAGGTATTCACTGCTGCTTTTAGGGAGTCTGGTGCTGTCGCTCAGTACTGTGAAACTCAGGACTCAGAAAAGGAAACCTTTGAAAATAACAGTGTGTGTAGCCTACCACCTGACCCACAGTAGCTGTTAGTTCAGTTCTCCTTCACTCTCTCCACTAATCTCCTGTGCTTTGAACCAGAATCTTTGAAACAAGGAAATTTCCAATTACTTGAGAACACATATTTTTGGCAAGTCTTTCTTGAACCCTAGTTCAAAAGCCAAAGTTACTGTAAATATTTTCTCTAATAAGGAAATGCTCTATCCGCTTACCACCATAAAGGTTGCATATATGTCCTCCTTTGGGAGCGACTGGTATTTTCGTGTCTCTGACATTCCTCGAGTGTTCAGATCCCTGGGTTTTCATCCTCTTAGCTGCAGTCATCCAAGGCTGGTGCATATCCCAGTGCTGGATACAAGGGGACGTGTCCATGCAGACACACATGCCACTGATTATGCAAAAAAATGCTACTTACAGTGCTTTCTGGGTCCCCAAACTGGGAAAATTGAATTTAGTTCATTATTTTATCATTTGATAACTATTCATCTGCCGCTCTAATGATGAAACAGACCATTGGAAAAATCAGAGGGGAAGCAGAACTGTAGTGTCACCTTTTCTGTTTCTGCAGAGAATACTGCTTGGATTCTGGGAGAAAACAGCTCGAAGCATGTCCCAGATCCATGGGACCTGCGCTGTCTTTCATCCATATGATTTTGTAGCGCTCAAGGTACATTCTTTCCATGTGCTCATGTGTGTATATATTACATTTCATTTAGCAGATAACATTGAAGCTGTTTTGTGCTAAGCCTGTTAGGCCATCACAAAACATACCAAACACTGGAGTAAGGTAAAGGGTTTATTGGGGAAAATCCAGCAGACCAGAAGGAAGGGGCAAAGAGGGCAAAAGAGAGGAGAGTGTAAGAGAGACAGAGAGGAGAGGAGCTAGGGAGGAGAGCAGAGAGCGCAGAGAAGAGCCTGCAAGAGAGCCATGTACTCAGGAACAGGTCCTTTTAAAACTTTGCCAGGCCGGCGCCACGGCTCACTAGGCTAATCCTCTGCCTGCGGTGCCGGCACCCTGGGTTCTAGTCCCGGTTGGGGCGCCGGTTCTGTCTTGGTTGATCCTCTTCCAGTTCAGCTCTCTGTTGTGGCCCAGGAAGGCAGTGGAGGATGGCCCAGGTCCTTGGGCCCTGCACCCACATGGGAGACCAGGAGGAATCACCTGGCTCCTGGCTTCGGATCGGTGCAGTGCGCTGGCCATAGCAGCTATTTGGGAGGTGAACCAACGGAAGGAAGACCTTTCTCTCTGTCTCTCACTGTCTATAACTCTACCTGTAAAAAAAAAACTTGCGGGGTGGGGGTGGGGCCGGGCAGGGAAGCAGGAGGAGCAGCTTGATACCGGTGGTTGGGCCATGTGGCCACCTCAAGTGGCCACCTGGCTTCCAGCAATGGTAGTGGGGGCTAGAGCCTAGGATGGTGTCAGGGTGTGGATCACGCCATAGATAAAACTGTGCCATTTTCCTAAAAAGCCTATTTTCAAATTTACAAAACACTCAAACACATTTTCCCACCCTCTTTCAGCCAAGGATCAGCGCTTCCCTGATTCTGAAAGCTGCCTGCAACACCAAAACACATGCTGGCAGGCTCAAAATAGTAGTAAGGCAGAGGGGAAAGAGGAAAAAGGAAAAAGAAAATTTTAAAATGCAAAAGAGTTAAGAAAACTTAAGAAGAACAAGTGATTGAAAATGGTTATGTGTTTTCAAAATTGACCAGATTACCTACTTGGTAATTTGGAGATTTGAAAATATTTATTAGAATCAAGGACCTGCAGCCAGAGCGGCATGGAGAGGCGTGTCCAAGAGAGGAAAACCTGAAGGGGACTGGTGGCAGTGGGCTTTAAGTAGAATTTCGAAGGAAAAAAAAAAACACTTCAGAATCAGATTGGCATTCGGTTACTGGGTGGGGACCCCATTTACAATTCTCCATCCTGTCTGGCCTGCTGAGGGTGGGGTAGATAACTTGTTTTCACAATAAGCTATGAGCTCTGGGGGAGCTACTTGCTATTCTCATGGTAAATTTGGAGATTCTGAAGGAAGGAAGGCAGCCTGTTAGTTCTTGCTAAAGATAAAGTTTTGGGGAAGGAAGCAAGTATTTTACACCCCAAATTCCATTGGGATCCCTGACTATTAACCCATCTGACTTCTCACATTCCCTCCTCCTGGAGATGGAAGCCCTAACATCTGTTAGTGGGAACTGGGCGGTCATCGCTCTGGCTGCTTCATGCTGCAAAGGGGCGTCTTTGGGAAGGGGAGTCAAGGCAGGGTTGCAGCAGGAGGTGGCTTCTCTAGGGGGATGCAGTGCCAGCTGCAGAAACTGCTTCTGTTACCAGTGAATGGCAGGGTTCTTGTCTTCACCCAAGAAAGAATTCAGGCGTGAGACAGAGTAAGTGGAAAGCAAATTGTTATATCTTAATGTTAGCCGTCACAAAGCACACCGGACACCGGAGTAAGGGAAAGGGTTTATTGGGGAACACCCTACAGACTGGAGTGAAGGGGCGGCAAAGGAAAAGAGAGAAAGAGAATATAAGAGAGAAACAGAGAGGAGAGAAGATAGAGCATAGAAGAGGAGAGAGGAGAACAGAGCCAAGAGCCCAGAGGAGGAGGCTAGAGAGAGGAACCGAAAGAGAGCAGGAGAGAAGGGCCAAGAGAACACGTGTTCAGGAACAGGCCCTTTTAAAACTTTGCCTGAGGGCGGGCAGGGAAGCAGGAGCAACCAATCCCATTAGGATGGGGGTGGAGCCTGGCTCAGGTAGCTGGGCCATGCGGCCAACTGCGCCAGTTTCCTAACACAAATAGCAAGGTTTATTAGGGAAGGGACATCCATCAGAACAGATGGGCACCTCTCCAGACAGAACCTGAGAAAGAGTGCCCAGTCGCTCACACTGGGGAAGAGTGGGGTTACGTGGTTGAGTGGTAAGAGTACACCTGGCCAGGCCAGATGGGCGGCTCAGCATAGAGGCAGAGGACTGAGCGCACTGTGGTGGTTTAAGGGAATGGGCCTTAGCTCCTCTTGGAACAAAGGACTTTTTGGATGTAAATACTAAAAACTTCTGAGTTTTCCCCCTGAAGTTATCAGACGGGGGAAGCCTGGCTGGCGTCCTAGGTTAGAGGAAGGATGGGCAGGATATTGAAGTGCAGATACTGGGCTACACCTGGAAGGTTATCAGGCAGAAGGGTGGGGACCTCCACCTGGCAGGTTATCGGGTAGGAGGGGCAGGGCAGGATGTAGATAAGGTTATTGGGATGACTTTGAGCTGCATATGCTGGACATAGATGTCTTCTTAGACCTTTGTCACACACACATAAGCTCATATCTGACTTCCTACCTAACACTTCCATTGAGGGTTCATGTGCATGGCCACCTAGAATTTTACTTTTTTAAGTCCAGAGAAAACAAATCTAGCAAGCAGTTTAAACTCACAGGATCTAAAAATCACAGGATCCAAAACCAAGGACAGAGTCAAGGAAAGTGTCCAAACCATGAGCAAGTTTGTATTTTTTTTTCTTTCATTGAGAGGCAAATACAAACTGACAGAAAGGGCTTAAAAAATAATCAGGTGGGCTGAAGGCCATGAGGCGCAGACCCATCCATATCTCTTCACATGTGGTACATCCTAAAGGAGGCACCCTGTTGATCTCCACCACCCAGCTGGCCTGGGAGGAGAGCTGGCTTGAAGAGAAAGTAGGTGGCATTTCTAGAAGGAAAACAGTGAATAAACAGTTCTGCCAGCAATGTTGCCTACCCTACCTGGCTGTCCCCCTCTACGGCAGTGGTTGCCTTGGAAGCTGGGGCGAGTGAAGGGCTTGGCTTTTCAGCTTAGAGCAAACAAGGCCTGTGGCTCTGACCTGGAGTCCCTGGACTCCAGGCAGGTCCATTTCCAGTGATCCAACTCGGGTGGCATAGCTGCCAGGGCTCTTCACAAGCTGACTTCTGCTGAAGCCCCTGCCCACAACATCAAAAACCAATGCAGTGGACTGGCCTGCTGGGTCCCCTCCATGGAAGATCACTGTGTAAAGCAGCCACTACTTGGCCTGCCACCCATCTCTGCACCACCTCTGCAGCCCAGCTTCCCCTTCCTCCTGGTTTTTGTCAACGCAGACCAGAGGAAACCCTTAAGAGAATGCAAGTCAAGGGGGTGCTCTGACCCTAATCTTTGGTGGTATAAACTAGAAATCTGTAGTCACAGACATGTTCTGATAGCGGTTCTTCTTTGAAGTAGACCATGCCCATGCAGAAAGCTATGTCAAAAATGATGACCACCTCATTTATTAAATTTTAAGTCATTAGTAAAACTCTCTCCCTTTGTTTGGATTTTGAAAAAAAAAAAAGGGCGGGGGGAGGGTTTGCCTGTTTACTGTGCCCATGACAAAGTAAATCTAGCTATGGATCTACTTGACAATTTTAAAAGAAAATTTTCCTTCTTTTACTTCTATACCAATGTCACAGATGTGGATCAAGATCCCAAAACCATGCCATTCATGGTCATTATATATGTCTCAGTGCAGCTGAAGAGCCTGACATGTCAAATTAGGTCTTTCCATAACATGTACCTGTAAAAGGACCTTTTGGGCTATGATTAATAATGCTTTGAATATTTCTGTATCTTCCCATCACCTTTGCCTATGGCTTATCCAGAAGTCTCACCATAATAATCATTTCTTCATTTCTGGTAGGCTAGGTTTGACCTTATTATCCTGCCTTATTTTCAGTAGGGCTGGAAGGGTGTTGCTGGGAGGTTTGCTAAAGCTAGACTTGGTATCTCTGATGGGCTCATAGCCTGTCACCACGTATTCCTGGGTTTGGGGATGGATTTTTAAGTCATGTTCTGACATGGTATTGTCCAGACAAAAGTTATCCTTGGATTGTATTGTGTTTTGTTTTTTTACTTTTTCTGTGACAGATGTTATCATTGGATAGCATACTGTATATTTAGACAAACTTTATGTGCAATTTCTGGTCAGAACTAAAGTTGCAAATCTTTCGCTGTATAAAATTACTTCAAAAGTTTGTGGGAAAATGGAATTAAAAGAGAAATTTATTTTGGTGCAAAAACTTTTGCAAATCATGCATGTTTTTCATAATTCTCATTTTCCATGAACTTAGATAAAGCCCCCTCATGTTTAAACATTGCAGTAAGGCTATAAACAAAGCTCTAGTCATCTTTAGACTGTCACCAAGCAGTTAAGCCGACCAGTGGCCAGTCCACATCACAGTGTGTGTGGTTGCCATGGGCAGCCAGGATAAACACTTGAGGAAATGTGCTCTGAATTACATTAGCACATGTTTCTAGTATATCTCACTCTGTACTTCAGAACTAGTCCTGTTTTATACCATCCTTTAGATTTTCTTATTTTGTCTGCAGAGCGAGAGAGACCAATTCTTTCCATCTACTTAACATTGAATTTCTTTAACCTTAGCAACTACAAGACACTCCAAGCAAGCTTATTGAAGACCACAAAGAAGAACAAACAGAAAGCAGCTTTCTTAGCAAAAACCTCCACAAGTAAGCAGATGTTATAAAAGAGGTCCTGGATACCATCACGGATGTATGTGGAAGAATTGTTTCTTTTCTGAAGGGTTACTGAATGCTTCAGTCATTTTTCCAGACTACACTGAACATTGGTTTTGAAGCCTTATATTATTTTTTTCTCTGGCAGGCAGAGAAGGTGACAGGTGTAACAAACAGGCTGTGGGAATTACTGAAGAGCTTAAGCATTTTATTGAGAGCCCTGAGTTCCTCTAATGACTCCCAGAAAGGACAGCTGGAGAGAAGAGGGGGCTGGGGCCAGCAGCCATAGGACACACCCTTGCATAATCCACCTCTGCCACCAATACAGAGGCACTGGTTTTGCACCATGACATATGTGGGGGTACTTACAAATGTCTGCAGAAAATTGGAATTGAAAGATGAACTCATCTTGGTGCAAAAAAATTGAAATTCATGTAGCTAAGGGATCTTCACAAAGTGTATGCAAATGCATATTTTGAAAAAGAACTCTGTGAATGGATTCCAAAATTATTTTGCACCAAAATAAACTTTTAATTCAGTTCTCCATACGTATTAGGAAGAACCCTCATCTATCCTTCATTTGCCTGTTTTCCTTTTGTTACCTTGTTTTTTTGTGTTCCTCTCAGAGCTGTCATTTAATTCCCATTTTATCCAGATCGGACTAAGAACAATCACACAAAATCTAAGACCGAACAGTGACAAGCCCGTATTGTTGAGCAGAAGGTGATTTTAAACATAAGGCATTTCTGCTGCTTTCCCAGGTGTATTAGCAGGGAGCTGGATTGGAAGTGGGCAGCTGGAACTCCAACTAGTGTTCATATGGGATGCTGGCATCCCAAGCTTAACACACTGTGCCACAACGCTAGCCCCTCTGTTCTCGTCTTTCATGGAAGTTTTCTTCCACATCTTCTCATGCACCTGTAGTATTGTGAAAGCTACTTTTCGTGTTAATAGATTTCCAAGCATTTTGCCTTCTCTCCCATCCAAGTTGGTAAAAATCATTGGAAATTTCATTCTAATTCATAAGTATCTATTTGTAAAGTTTGCAGAGAAACACTGTGTTGCTTTTTAAATGTCTTTAAAAACTTAAAACAATCTCCAGGGACTGTTGTTGTGAGCCAGTTTAGCCACCTGTTGTGACGGCTGGCATCCTAAATCCAAGTGCCAATTCAAGTCCAGACTGCTCCAGCAGTCTGATCCAGCTTCCTGCCAATGCACTTGGGAAGGCAACAGAAGATGGCCTGTGTGCTTGGGCCCCTGCTACCCATGGAGGAGACCCTGATAGCTTCAGGCTCCTGGCTTTGACCTGAGACAGAGCTGGTTGTTTTCAGCATTTGGGTAGTGAGCCACTGAACCAGCTGGTGGAATTCATATTCTCTCTCTTGTTCTGCCTTTCAAGTAAATCAATAAATAAATCCTTTTTTAAGCTTTATTTATTTATTTTTTTTGAGAGTGTCATGGAGAGAGGGTGACAGAGAGAGAGGGAGAGATCTTCAATCAGCTCATTCACTCCCCAAATTGCCTCAATGGCAGGGGCTGGGTCAGGCGGAAGACAGAAGGCTGGAACTCCGTCTCGGTCTCTACATGGGTGGCAGGGGCCAAGCGCCTGGGCCATCTTCTGCTTTCCCAGGTGCATTACTAGAGAGCTGGATTGAAAGTGGAGCAGCTGGGACTCCAACCTGCTCCCGTATGGGCTGCTGGCATCGCAAGCAGTGGCTTAACCTGCAGCATCACGGTGTCAGCCCCGATGAATACATCTTTAAGAAACAACAAGGGGCTGGCTTTGTGGCCTAGCAGGGAAGGCTGTCTCTCTCTTCCTCTCCCTTCTCCTCTCTCTCTGTAACTCTGACTTACAAATAAATAAGTAAAACTTTCAAAAACAACACAACACAACACAATGACAACCACTTCCAAGAGGAGGCACTGACTCTAGCAGTTGTGATGCCAGCTAAGACACCCACGTCCACTTCAGAGCACCTGGGTTCAATGTCCAGCTCCAGCTCCTGACTCCAGCTTCCCGCTGATGCAGACCCTGGGAGGCAGCAGGGATGACTCCAGGAATTGAATTTCTGCCATCCACGTAGGAGACTTGGACTGAGTTCTTGGCTTCAGCATGGCCAAATCCCAGGTGTAACAAATATTTGGGGATTGAACCACTGGATGAGAGTCTCTCTCTCTCTTTCTCTTTGACTCTTTGCCTCTCAAATAATATTTAAAAAGCTAGTAATTGTGGGGTTATGCTCATAAATAATTTCTATATCTGTATTGGATTCCTTTTTTTTCTTTATAAATAGTTTTTGAAACAATGACAAGAAGAGAAAGAGAGAGAGATGTTTCATCTATTGGTTACTCCTCAAATGCTCACAACTGGGGCTAGGTCAGGTTGAAGACAGGAGTCATGAACTCCATATGTATCTCCCACACGGTGGCTGGGACCATCATCTGCTCTCCCAGGTGCATTAGCAGGAAGCTGGATCAGAAGCATGGAGTAACCAAGACTTAAGCACTCTGATACAGGATGTGAGTGTCCCAAGTAGTGGCTTAACATGCTGAATCATAACACTCATCCCTATATTTGATTTTTTTGTCTCACTTTTTGATTATTACAAAAAATGAATGCCATAGGGGCTGGCGCTATGGCACAGCGGATTAACACCCTGGCCTGAAGTGCTGGCATCCCATATGGGTGCCAGTTTGAGACCCGGCTGCTCCACTTCCCATCCAGCTCTTTGCTGTGCCCTGGGAAAGCAGTGGAAGACGGCTCAAGTCCTTGGGCCCCTGCACCTGCATGGGAGACCTGGAAGAAGCTCCTGGCTCCTGGCTTCAGATTGGCACAGCTCCAGCCATTGCAGCCAATTGGGGAATGAACCATCGGATGGAAGACCTCCCTCTCTTTCTGCCTCTCTTCTCTCTGTGTAACTCTGAGTTTTGAATAAATAAATAAATCTTTTTTTAAAAAAAGAATGCTATAAATATTCAAAATTAGGATTGTTTGAGAATATTTTAGGCTGATATTTTTTTCCCCATGAAGATCACTTTTTTTTTTCTTCAAAATAAAGTGCCCCACTTTTTCAGGAGCTCTTCAGTTCCCTCTATTGAGTTCCCATGGATTCTTGAACAGAAAAATGAAGTTTTGTATGCTAGTTCTTTGGTATAGGTCTCCCAAGATGTTGTACATGCTGAGCATTGCTTACCCAAAATGCTTGGAACCAGAATTGTTTGAGATTTCAGATTTTTGGAATAGTTGCATATATATATAAAATGAGATATCATGGGGAAGGAACTCAAATCTAAATATGAAATTCATTTATGTTTCATATACACCTTATACACATAGGGTAAAGGTAATTTTATACAGTATTTTAAATGACTTTGTGCATGTAACAGAGTTTCTTGGCATGGAATTTTCTACTAGTTGCATGATATGAATACTCAAAGTTTCAGATTTTGGAACATTCTGTATTTTGGGTAAGTCATGCCCAGCCTGTGTGTAGCACGTGTGGTGCTGATGTCATGATGTGGATACTCAGTAAATGGTTACTGGAAGAATAGTGGGTGACAGGTTTGTGCATTCTGTATAGCACTATGTAAGAAGTAGGAAATATCTTAGACTAGATCACAACCTTTTGAGAGAGACTGTGTTAATGTCTATTCAATTAAGAAAACATGTTACGTCATTTGTCATCAAACACTCCTTGAGTTACCTTGTAAGGTAACCTGGTTGGAGGGCCTGGGAGTCTTTAGGGAGGCTGAGGGTCACCTGATTAAGTTATGAGTTTTTCTTCAGATTTAATTTGTGTTCTTATTTTGCAAAACATATTTGTACATGCAGCCAACATGTATTTGAATCATTGTGGCTAAAAAAGATGACAGACTTTGGAACCAGGAAAATCTCAGCCTAAATTGGGCTTTTAAAAATAAACCTTTTTTGCCTCTAGCAATAGTCTCATCTGAAATATGAGTCATTTCTGCCCGCCTTACCAGGGACATTAGGACTAGAGATTGATTTTTTTTTTTTTAAAGGCAGAGTGGACAGTGAGAGAGAGAGACAGAGAGAAAGGTCTTCCTTTGCCGTTGGTTCACCCTCCAATGGCCATGCTGATCCGAAGGCAGGAGCCAGGTACTTCTCCTGGTCTCCCATGGGGTGCAGGGCCCAAGGACTTGGGCCATCCTCCACTGCACTCCCTGGCCACAGCAGAGAGCTGGCCTGGAAGAGGGGCAACCGGGACAGAATCTGGTGTGCCGGAGCCACAAGGCGGAGGATTAGCCTAGTGAGCCGCGGCGCCGGCGAGATTGATGTTTACAAACTTCGTAACACATAGTAGGTGACCTATAAGTGTGAGATCATTCCCATATATTTACATAAATAGAGACTATACTTAGTAAATCCCATTTGTCAATTTACAATAATCCCCATTCCCACCCCCAGCCAGTCACTAACCTGCTTTCTGAATATAGGTATTTGCCTTTCCTGGCCATTTCATAGAAATAGAATTCTCCAATATGTCTTCTCATGTCTAGCCTCTCACTTCATTTAATGTTTTTGAGGTTCAGACCTGATGTAGATTGTGTCAGTAGTTCCTACCTTTTGTCTTTTGTGTGGGTATCCATAAATTTTGATATATGGTATTTTCATTTAATTTAAATTATTTTAAAATTTTCATTTTATCTTACAACTTACAGCCATTTTGAAGTGTATTTCTGGACTTGCCAAATTATGGTGTTAAAATTAATTTTGTTTTGATTTTAACTAAACTGCATTATGGCCAGAGAATCTGTTCCTATGGAACTAATTCTTTGAGTTATCAGGACTTGCATTACAGAATAAAGTAGGTATCATTTGTGAATGTGTCATGTCCTTGAGAAGAACGTATACTCTCCCTGTTGAATGCAGGAGGCTCCATGTGCTTGTTAAGTTTGTTATTTGTGCTGCCCCAAGTTTTCTGTATCTTTACTATGTGTGGTTTTTTGTGTTTTTTTTTTTTTTTTTTTTTTTTTTTTTACAGGCAGCGTGGA